GGAACAAGGGCGTGGCAGAAAATCATACAAAGTCTTTAGTCTAAATCAAATCCTCTTTATCAAATTGAGGAAGATTATTAGAATACATGTTTCATAAATCCTGAGGAATGAACGACCCTGCAATTGCAATCTTCTCCCCAAAAGTCCAAGGTCGTAGCATAACAGTGTATTATCTTGCACAGTGGACTTACCCTTCATCACGCTTTGTTTTGCGGGAAAAGAGCATGAACCTGAACGAACGGCGATAATAATCTTCAACCGAACTGTCCGAAAGTCATCAGTGTACTGCTTTGGTCAGAGCAACGACTTTGCTGAAACAAAATGTTTTTGCACAGTCATTGAATGCACTTCTCTGCAGTCCTTGCGGATTTGTCTCACCCAAACGGCTGGTGGTGCAGTCCCAGTACCACCTTGCAGGGAGGAGGTATGGATGCTCGTATTACTTTTATCTATCAACTTCGTGATTGTCCAGATATATATATATACATATAAATCTCAACAAGTTTATTCAACCTCCATCCACCTCCTCTTTCGAACAGCGTGTGCAAAACAGAACCAAACACGAAAGAGAACCTGTTTCTGAAACACCGTCCTGATGTTGGCAAAGGAATATTCTGGAGCTCATGGGCAATCAGCAGCTTCATATGATAAGACGAGGGGATGACAGCCTATTTCCGGTCTGTGCCGGTGAAGATGGGGGGCAAGCCAAATGTGATGGCATCCTTGTCGATGACCCCGCCCACGTTTTTCTCCGCAATCATTTTTGCACCTTCGTCAGTCTCGACATCCTCCACCAAAGAGAAGCCTTGCTTGGCGATGTTCTCCAGGTGAGCCCTTGCCGGCGCATTTTTCGCACACGAAGGCAGCCCGGGACATCGCACAACCGCAAAGGGGTCGAAGGTATCTTTCTTCCGAATGAGGCTCTCCAAAGCCTGCTTGGTGGTGTAAATGTCGCCGCCGAAGTAGTTGTAGAACATCTCTGCCAAGTCTGCGTCCATACCCCA